GGTGGGTTGATGGAAGGTGGGATGGTGATGGGTAGGTGTATGTATGGGGATTGAGCCGGTCCACTTTGGCTGAAACTTTTTAAGTAACACCACAACTCTGATTTGAGTAAAAAAATAATCTGAGTGTAAAAACAAGCAGGAACAAACCTAACAACACTGAAAGCAGTCTTTATGAAGCCCTGTAAACCATGAAGCTAATATCTTTTCAGTCTTAGTAAGGATGATGTGTAAGAAAGACTAAAGTGATGAAGAGCAGATCTTTGGTATCACCGAGCTCTGCAGAGATCAGACACTTCATCTGAACAGAAACAGCATCTTTATGTCTTTATACTGCGGTATAAATATATACAAGTGCAAAGATTCAGCCCTCAGACGTGTTCCCTGGGCCGCCTCGTGACATAAAGGATGCTAATTTGGATTCAAAGGACAGTTTTCCTGCTTGGAGCCGACCCGGCCGCCTCATTTGCTGGATCCTATAATTTGCAGCAGGAACAGGAAGATCTGGACGATGTCGACGTAGATGGAGAGCGCAGCGAACACGTACTCCTCTGGATTGATGGAGTGCTTCCTGTTCCCGATCAGTAACTGTGTGTGGTATGCCAGGAACTGCGACGAAACAAAGATCAAAGTTTAATCTGGAAACAAAAACTCAGAGCGAGGCGTGGAACAAACTGAAGGAAAACTCACCAAAGTGAAGACTATGGCTCCTAAAGCTGCGTAAAGCATGTGGAGCCAGTAAATCTGTAACAACAAACAGCTGTTAGGAAACACAAGGAGCTGAGATGGATAGAATAGTTTCTCCCGACGTCGACTCACGTATCTGAAGGAGAGTACAATGGCTGTGATGATGCCTGTCACGAAGATCACAATACCAAGGACGCAAAAAAGGCCCTGACACTTGGTGAAGTCCACCTGAGAGCGAGTTAGAACATGCTTCAGTACAGAACAAACGCACTGCAGCCGGTAGAAGCGAAACACACACACCTTTGTCTGGAAGCAGAAGACCGTGACTGCGATGCAAACGACGGCCGTGATTCCAAGAGCCAAAAAGACTGCTTTTGTGTTGTAATAACTAAATCCAAATGGAAAACAATTCATGTACAACACAAGAAAACTACCTGGACTTATTTTTTACATATTTAGTGCTTGTTTTTGTTTACCTGGATATAGTCCCAGTCATGTAGGACAGAGCCAGAGTCTGAAAACAAAAAGGACAAAATAAAACAAATACCGCAGACCTCAGACTATTATACAGCAATCTGTAAGAATGGTCCGGACAAATAAAGACCTTGTTTTAATTTGACCTTGATTTGTGACCTTGACCTTTGAGCTGGGGTAATGCATTACGAAGTACACTGTCTAGTTAAATTTTCTTCTTAGTCGAAGACCATGAGGAGGGAAACGTGTCAGGAGACCGAGGGAGAAGAGGAAAGTCAAGAATGTAGAACTGAGGGTGGCAACTCTAAATGTGGGAATAATGACAGGCAAAGGTAGAGAGATGGCTGACATGATTCAGAGAAGGAAGGTAGACGTTTTATGTGTCCAAGAGACCAAGTGGAAGGGCAGCAATGCTTACAGAATTGGAGCAGGGTTCAAACTGTTTTACCATTGTGTAGATAGAAAGAGAAATGGAATAGGGGTGGTCCTGAAGGAGGAGTTAGTAAAGAATGTAGTAGAGGTGAAAAGAGTGTCAGATAGGGTGATGTGTCTGAAGGTAGAAGTAGAAGGTCTGATGCTAAACCTTGTCAGTGGTTATGCTCCACAGGTTGGATGTGATGTGGAGGAGAAAGATAAATTTTGGAAAGATCTGGATGAAGTGATAGAGAGTATTCTGGTGGTGGAAGAGAGAAGTGCAGAACGCTGTTCAAAGAAAGGTTAGTCAAGAAGAAATATGACAGTGAGAGGAATGAAGAGAGGAGACAGGAATATAACAAGATGCAGCGTAGAGCAAAGAGGGAGGTAGTGGGCTCGGGCCAGGCTGGGCCGAATTTATTAGGCTCGAATGCAACTCTACTTTCAGTAGCTAATGAATAAAGAGAATGAAAGGGAAAGGAGAGTAGAGGTCATAGAAACTGTGGACCAGGAAGTGGGAAAGATGAGTGAGGGTGAAGTCCAGAAAGCTCTGAAAAGAATGAAGAAGGGGAAGCCAGTAGGACCTGATGACATACCAGTGGAGGTTTGGAAATGTCTTGGGAGAGATGGCAGTGAGGTTTTTGACTCAAATATTCAATGACATATTTGAGGCTGAGAAAATGCCTCAGGAATGGAGAAGAAGTGTGCTGGTGCCCATTTTTAAGAACAAAGGTGATGTACAGAGTTGTAGCAACTACAGGGGAATGAAGGTGATGAGCCGCATGATGAAGATCTAGGAGAGAGAGTTGTGGAAGCAAGACTTAGACGAGAGGTGACTATCTGTGAGCAGCAGTATGGTTTCATGACAAGAAAAAGCACCACAGACGCCATTTTTGCTTTGAGGATGTTGATGGAGAAGTACAGAGAGGGTCAGAAAAAACTGCATTGTGTCTTTGTGGATTTAGAAAAAAGCATATGACAAGGTGTCAAGGAAGGAGGTGTGGTATTGCATGAGGAAATCTGGAGTGGCAGAGAAGTACTGTATGTTAGATTGTTACAGGACATGTATGAGGACAGCAGGACAGTGGTGAGACGTGCTGTAGGAGTGACAGATAGCTTCAAGGTGGAGGTGGGAGTGCAGCAAGGATCGGCTCTGAGCCCCTTCTTGTTTGCTCTGTTGATGGACCGACTTAACGGATGAGTTCAGGCAGGAATCTCAGTGGACTATGATGTTTGCAGATTACATTGTGATCTGTGGTGAGAACAGGGAACAGGTGGAAGAGAACTTGGAGAGGTGGAGGTATGCACTTGAAAGAAGAGGAATGAAAGTCAGCCGTAGTAAGACAGTACATGTGTGTGAATGAGAGGGAGGCCAGGGGAACAGTGAGGCTACAAGGAGCAGAGGTCACAAAAGTACAGGACTTCAAGGACTTGGGATCCACTGTCCAGGAAAATGGGGAATGTGATAAAGAAGTGAAAAAGAGAGTCCAGGCAGGATGGAGTGGATGGAGAAAAGTTACAGGAGTGATTTGTAACAAAAGGGTGTCAACAAAGGTCAAAGGAAAATTTTACAAGACAGTGGTGAGACCAGCTATGTATGATCTGGAGACGGAGACATGGACAAAAAGACAGGAGAATAAACTGGAAGTGGCAGAAATGAAGATGTTGAAGTTCTTAAGAGTGACAAGGATGGATAAGATTAGGAATGCGATCATCAGAGGTACAGCACAGAGGATGCAGAGGACAGAGTGAGATGGAGGATGACTCGCTGTGGCGAACCCTGAAGAGGAAAAAGCCAAAGAAGAAGATTCAGCTTCTCTGTATAGTTCAGTTCTGCTACATTTCTGCCCCATTCAGCTTTTTCTACACTTTTCAGCTGTTTTTCTGCTGCCTTCTGCTTTTATTTTCCTGTTTTCAGTAAATGGCAGCTGTTCAAAATCAACTCACATTAACAGTTCAGAGATTAACCATTTGCATCAGCTTTGAGCAGAAACCATTCAGCAACAAGCGTTCACACAGCATTTTAACAGGAAATGACTTTTCTCCAGTTGTTTTAATCTCCAAACTGAACATCTGGACTCAAAGTAAACAATAATCCTGACTTCTCCATTAAGCAAAGTTGCATCATTTTGTTGTTCAAGCCAATAAAAGAAAGATAACATTTTTATGAAAACAAAACACACTGAATGCTGTATTATTTAAACAGTTAGCGGGGAGTGTGGTGACTCAGTGTCAACATTTGTAACACAAAGGTCACACCAATGACAGAACACAGCATTTTAGTCCCAAGAATAGATTTGGGTCCAGTCCAACAAGTTCAGCTGCAACAAGTTTCACTTACAAAAATGAGAAGCAGAATTAGGTTCCATGGGAACTTCCTCCTAAAAACAAACAAACAAACCCAAATTAAATGAAACTGTAACATTTCTGTATTCATGTGTAGGCCTGGTTCCTTGAAGGAATGCCATCTTTAATGTGTGGAGCATGACTCTCAGCCACTACCACTATTTTGGTAACAGACGAGGCCACAATAATAATTACCTTAATAATAAAAATTATTATTCTAATCTTTAAAAGTATTCTCTGTAGATATGTTTCCACTCACCGTGGGCCTTTACAGCAAACCAGCGCAATGTGGGTGATGAAATAGATGGCACTTAACAAATACAAAAACAATTATTAATGTAGGAATGAACGTTTTCAGTTTTATTTGTGTGTAGATTTAAGTGCAGTGAAGTTAAGCACAAAGTAAAACTTACTATGACACCCAGTACACCACCGGGTTTTTCTGTACAAACAATCTGACAGGTTCTCTGTGGGAAACAGGAAGGGTTCATGAAAACATAAACTCACATTAAACACTTACAGGTGCTGTTAATTGCACTGTGTTTATCCTATTAATCAATTTTTCTCTAGCAAAGAAATCTATTAATAATAATGTACTCACGCAAATGTGAAAATGGCCACGATGGCCGTGGTGACAAGCAGCTGAGATGCCAAAATCATGTAGACCTGGATAACACAAACAGGTGTCAAACACACATACAAGTGGTACTCCAATGTCCCCCGCCACCAATGGATTTGAATAGTGAGTTTTTGTAGTTTTTGAGACGAGTGCTTTTCTGGACTACAATTGAACAGATAATGTAAGTAGACCTTACAGGTGCTGGTCATGAAATTAGAATATCATGAAAAAGATTTATCTCAGTAATTCCATTCAAAAATAAAACTTGTATATTATACTGATTCATTCATTACACACAGACTGATATATTCCAACTGTTTATTTCTTTTAATGTTGATGATTATAACTTACAACTAATGTAAACCCCAAATTCAGTATCTCAGAAAGAGAAGGGTTATGTCCCACCTTCTGACAGGCATTTAATCAAAAGTGCTTTGTTGTTGTTGTTATGTTGTTGTTTTCAGATTCAGACACTTTACCTTCCTGATGAAGGCATGCCGAATGCTCAGGTCGTCCCAGTTGCTGCCTCGTGCAGCAAACTCGTCCCCTGTGTTTTCAGTGGAACAGAAATGAGATCAGAGATGACAAAAACCAACAACGATCACCTGACTGGAGGTGATGGAGTTAAAAGATGAATTATGAAAAGCAAAATCAAAAGTGACTGAGTTCCAGTCCTACCTGAGCTCAACACGTCTGATGGGATGGTGGGTGGGATGATGGGAGGCATGGGAGGAGGTGGTGGGTAGACGACTCCTGGAGGCCCGGCAGGGTGAGGCTGTCCTGGGTAAGGTGCAGGAGGATACCCCGCTGGCTGGCCTGGGTACAGAGGGGTATTTGGACCAGCTGGGTAGGGGGCAGAAGGCTGATCCAGCTGGGGACCAACGTAGGAGGGGAAGCCGTATGGAGGTGGTGCTGGGTAGCCCCCACCCTGAGGTGGGTACAGTGGGCCATGCAACTCGCTGTACCCTGGGGGGAATTCTGACTTGGACATGATGCCTGGGAGGAAGGAAGTAGAAGAAAATTAAAACCTATTATCAAGCATCATTACAGAGTTAGATCAGCACAGTGATCAAACCCCAACTGTTCCTAGAATGGAACTAATGTTTCGATGAATGAAAAATTAAAAACTTAACATGTCTGATAGTCCAACATTCAGTGAAGGAAAGCACGTCACTCAGTCTGTCATGTCAAAGATTGAACCCAGATCAGAGGCTGAGACATGACGGAGTCGGCCATCTTGAATGGAGCCGACTCCACATGTTCATCAGTTGATGTACATCATTGGGATGTTGTGTAATGTAAATACAAAACAAAACGGAATGATCTAAACCTTTTTTATTTAAACTTCTGTCCATTTGAACAATTGGACCTTTAAATGTATTTATGTTAGTTCTGGATATGATGACAGCAACATGTCATGTTTCCCTCTGTGAAGACTCCTGAGACCAGTTGTTGGAGGTTCTGGAGGGCCCGAGGAGACCAGTTGTT